AGAGCTAGAATCTTCGTCTGCTTGAGATGTAATTGAATTATTTATATAAGTAAGAAACTAATTTGAACAGAGCTAGAATCTTCGTCTGCTTGAGATCTAATTGAATTCTTTATATAAGTAAGAAACTAACTTGAACAGAGCTAGAATCTTCGTCTGCTTGAGATCTAATTGAATTATTTATATAAGTAAGAAACTAACTTGAATAGGGCGGGATTCTTCGTCTTCTTGAGATCTAATTGAATTATTTATATAAGTAAGAAACTAACTTGAATAGGGCGGGATTCTTCGTCTTCTTGAGATCTAATTGAATTATTTATATAAGTAAGAAACTAACTTGAATAGGGCGGGATTCTTCGTCTTCTTGAGAAGCAACGATATCCATATATGCAGAATCAAGAGTAAGTTGGCGACCGTTAGTATCAGCAAAGAAAAATCCTTTCCCACTGGTGGATTTTATAAGGTCTTCCAACTGTTTTGTTGCTTTATTGCCTAAAGTAATGGTATTGACTGTCACCTTTTCTTGCATAAGCTTAGGAAGCATTTCACTAACGTTCGAGTCTGCATTTTCTTCTCCATCTGTGACTAAGATAATTATCCCACCTTCTGCTGATTCTCCTTGAGATTTTAAAACCTAGGAAATGAAAACTTTTAAAGTTACAAAATGCTATATATTTTAAATCTTTTATTCATCCTCAATGGGTGAGGTTACAAAGTAAACATATTATTTTGGTAATGTAGTAGATAATTATATCAGAAAAATTACAAAGTATTGGTTTGTTTTGAATTTCGCGCAAACCTACACGAGGGCTATCTGCACTAGCCGTCCCTAATTTAGCAGTGTAAGATTAGAGGGAAGGCAGCTAGTCATCACCACCCACCACCATCTCTTGGGGGCTACTCTTTTACCAACGAATAGTGGGATTGACCGTAACATTATAACGCCCCCACGTCTGAAATGGCGAGCACGTTTGGTGTGACGGGGATTCGAGCCCGCGACCCTCAGATTGCGAGTCGAGCGTCCTAAACCACTTGGCCATGCCGGGCCGTTACAAAGTAAAAATATTATTTTGGCAATGTAGTAGATAATTATGTCAGAAATGCCAATTCAAAATTTTGAACTTACTGAACAAGTAGGTTTTCTTTTATGTATGAAACAAGTTTTCTTAAATACTCTAATTTATTGATTAATAACACAGGCCTGCGAATTACAGCTTCATAAAAGTCGTTTTGGTTTTAATAACATGTTTTCCATAATTCAGCTGTACAGATTTCGAAAATAATATTAATTTTTTCTATCACGTAAGGATTTTTTTACAAATAGGGAAGAAAAAAACTCGTACTTAGATCAAATTATTATTT